TATAACAAGTTTGAACACAAACAAATGAACAATTTGATTAATATTATTACTATTATTTCAATGTTTAGAACTGGAAAATCAATTTCAAAGTCAAGACTGATAAACCCGAGGGACTTGTCAATAAAAAACAACAGCTTTTGTTTAGAATGTGGCGAATTAAAAAGATATAATATTCAAGAACATTATAGAAAAACCACCATCATCATCTCAAGTTGTTTTGTCACAAAATCTATTTCCTATTATCATTCCCGTCCCATTTTATTTTACCCGTCGTGCTGATTTGACGCAGTAAGATAGAAGCACAAGCTCGATGTTAGGCGATAAAAGGTGGGAACATAGATTAACGAAACCAATACTCATGAGGCTGAGTGTAACAATCCACTCATTCGAGCATGAATGTACATGAAAACTTGTAATGTTTATCGGTTTGTACCTTAGAATCTTCTCAAAGGCGGTCCAAATATCCGCAAAAAGATACAATGAGATAGATGTGTTTGGTCCATTCTTTCTATGGATTGCATTATATAAAATTAAATATATGAGATTTATAACAAGACAATGTTAAAATAACATTTTATGTGTGATTTATCATGCATACTTTTTTTGTCTTCTTGAAATGTAAATATCCCCTAGGAGAAAAAGATCACGTGAACATGCAAGAGATGACAAGTGTGCAACGGTGAAATTAATTAGTCAATTGTTCCTTGCTTAGAATAATCATTGTTGTATGCACGATCAAATTAATTTCGGTTCCGAAGATCGGTATTTAGAAGAAATTCCAAGTGACTTACCATAACTTTGCTTGAAGGCAAAGTGATTATTGGTAATGATGATGCTTTCAAGCAAAGTTATGGTAAATCACATCACACGCATACAAATCATTTCTTTTTTTAAGAATAAGGATGAAATTTGGGGGGTTTTTTTTTTTCATGCTGACTTCATTGGTATTATGGAACTTATGACGCCTGAATTGTCCACAATGAAAAAATTTCTTTTGTCAATTCATTTACGGGGATAAAGAGAAAATGTGGTTTGTTTTCACGTGAGATGGAATTCCGCGCCCGTCTTCAAAATTTATGAAAAATTTTCACGAAGAAACTTTTTACCGCAATTTTAACAACGGTAAAAAATGGACAATATAACAATTCATGTTAATATTGTTCGGAGTTTTAAGAAATATTTCCTAATCTGTTCCGATTCAAATTGTGATTGGATCATGCCAAGTTTAAGTACGTCACTATCAGCAAAATCATAATAAACCGAAACAATGTATGTTCTTAATAATAAATATTGTTCACATTTAAAAACGAATCATTTTGAATAATGAATGCGTTTTTCATTTGATTCGGAGGTTTATGCAAAAGAATTTTTAATATGCATCAATGAGATTAAACCAATGTGCAAAAAAAAAAAAAGAACTACGGAGCTGCATTCAATGATTTAGTAAAAAAAAAAAAAAAAAAATGGTATGACGCTCTCCCAAACTTTATTTTTGTCTTTATTTTTTTTTTTTAAATCAAAACAAAAAATCAAAAAATAGATTATCGACTAAGAATAAATAATTGCTCTTTTTTTTCCCAACTTTGGATTGCACCACATCGAAACACTTTCAATTCGTTCCAAGGGTCAATTCAACTACATAAATAACTTAATTTTGAATTTTGTCTTGTTTTCCTTAATCAATATATTCTTTCTCCTGATGCAAAGTAAACACGAAATATAGAACTTAAATGGAAATTATAGTCAGAAAAAGACAATTGAACGATTTTTATTCAATTGATGATGAAACTCTATGGCAGACAACGGGGGATTTGTCCAATTAAATTTAAGAATTACGCCTCACCTTATTAACATATTTGTGATAACGTAATGAAAATCCAATAATGAATATCCCCAGAACAGGGTTTCCACGTGGAATAAAAGCTTGCATTTCAAACGTGATCGTCGCATTTCTTTACGAACCACATTAACGACCCCAGTGAACAATTTATGATATTGTTTCGTAAAAACTTAAACAAGGGATTTCAACCGTATAAGTTCATCGACTCATAACAATGTCCAATGGTTCAAGAAGTTGGTAAAAGTTTTCGTGATAAAACCAAAAACAATGGGTATAACCAAATCCGCATAATCATTCTTTTTATTTTACTTGGCCGATTTATGCAGTGTTTGAGGCTTTTCGTCCGAACATTCGAATCACGTCAATGGAACCTTTTTTTGGTCATATTTTGTATGATTTGTTGTTATACGATGTATACTTAACGTCTTATGGTTCGTTACATGTATGAGAACTTTTATGAATAAACGCGCATTCCCTTTTGTCTTGTAAAAGAGGAACAAACCTTTGCATCACAAATGCTAAAGTTGATGATATAAAGCTACATCTTTCGTAGAAATGAATTTTGTGAAAGAAGATACAACAGATCAGAAACGATTGTTCGTTATCAATACAATACGATATAATACCCCCTATTTATTATAATCACCAAGGTAGTAACTTATTAAGAGGAATAATCTGATTTGTTTCATTGTTTATTATCTCGTCGCAACACGAAACATTTTGTGACGCGTGTGATTAAATCGAATGACTCATGAGAGTAGTGCTTGCTTGATAAAGGAACGATCGATAGTCATATGCTTGATAAATGTTTGACAATCGTTTAATCGCTTTCCAACGGTTAACGTTTTAAGTCAAATTAACGATCACGAACATGATCCCAAAGTGAGACAAGCAGGATAAGCCGATTGTTTAATTGAGCCATTTCCTAGTATTGTATGCAATAATTAAATGAAAACGCGCGCGTTCTTTAAAAAAAAAAAAAAAAAAGGGACGGATGGCCTTTATTTGCACTTTTTACACCATATTAGTATAAATTCGGTTTTGATGTGGTTAATTTCCGGAAGAAAAAAAAAAAAAAACAAAAAGCATAACATTATTATTATTTTTAGTAAACTATCCATGGATATAAAGTTGGATCGACAATGTACTGTACACTTGATCTTTACCTTTGATGAGAAAGGAAAAGCGTATATCTTAAAATTTCTATCAAGGTAAAATCTATGCACTTTAATATTTGTACGAATGTGATAAATCAGGATTGCCTTTTGTTGTGCAGAAAAATGTACAGTGTAACGCGCGTGTTGTTTATGAAATTGAATTTCGAAATTTGGATTCTTCTCTAGTTATTTTTGGGTTTAGTTGATCATCGCTGGGTTTTGATGGTTTTATAATATTTGGGTTCCAAATGGGCCAATCAATTTTTATTATTCGGACGTGAAAAACGATTTTCTTTATTTTTTAACGTTTAATGGTGAAATCTTCAACAATTACCTCATAAAAGATTGTGAAATGACGCCTACAAGTTTGATTAGTAGTTTAGATATCAGCTAACTTTTAATCTTTCCGTGTCACGTCGTTTAAATTTGGAGATCGCGTGTGATATACCGAACTCCGACCGATCTCCTTTCCATTCGTTGGCACAAAAAAAAAAAAAAAAAAAGGATATTTTGCTTCTCGAAGAGAAAACGAAAGCATTGTTTACAAAACATGTTCAACGAGCAAAAGACACCCTTCGAGCGAAAAAATAATAAAAAGTTTTGGACTGGAGAAAATAAATTCTTTTTTATTTCTTTTGTTTAAATTTATCGTATAATATTTTTTACGAGTTCGAGCGGTGAAAAATTTTCATGAATTGTTTGTTTCATTGATCAGAAACAAGAAAAAAAAGTGTTTGCATGCATTGCATTTGATGTATTATTTGTAAGTATGTATTGTATTCCTTATGATAATTCCAGGTTTCCGATCACCCGGTATAGGCGAAACGGCTTTCAATGTTCTCCTCCCTTCAACAAAAAAGTAATGATTGTTTGTTAAGATTTTTTTTTTTTGTTATCGAAAACGTTACTTTATGGGTTCGTTTCTTTTTTTTTTTTTTTTTCTTTTTTTTTTAGGGGTTTCATAATTTATTTTGGATTCTGATAACGTAAAGTGTGACAATGACAAGTTGGGCTATACACATTTTTTAAGGGGATCCTATCAAATTTAAACATTATTATTTGAGTAAGAATGAAACAAAAACATATTAAAAACACCTCCCTAGATAGGATTAGATGGCTTTTAATTAAAACTTTAAAATATGTTTATTTAAAAAAAAACCTGTATTCTCTCCAAAAAGGAATAATTCCTAGATAAAGGATCTAAAAAAAAAAAAATTGGTATTATTCGTAATTCTTTTTTTGGTGGTACCTAACCTTTATTTTGGTATAATGAGAAAGGGGAAAGATGGAATTTTTTTTTTTTAGATCGGATGGTTCTGATCGACAAAAATACATACCTTTTCTTATTTTTGTATTTTTTTTTTTTTTTTTGTATCCCATTATCTCATCTCGTAATGTAACCATTTCATAGTTATAATGATACATTGATGCATTATCGTGATATTACAAGTTTTTTTTTTTATTTATTTATCTTTGGTGATGACAATTAATATTGTCTCATTTACTTTACCTTTTTACCATAAAAATAAACCATTTCAAGGGCGTCGATCATTTAAAACATTTTAAACAATAGTAACTGATCATAAATTGGACAATACAAATTAGATTTACACAAAGTAAATATATTGACGATCTTAGATGAATTTGTTGGAATGTAATGTTTAAAATGATTATTATCAAAAGATTTTCATATCAGGAATAATAATAAGAATACAAAAAAAAAAGAATAAAAAGACCAAATAATCTACCATTATTTTAAAACCAAAAATCAACCCCTCCTTTAATTTAACGACAAGTTCTTGGAAACGTTTTTACTTTACACAAAGTTAATTATTTTAATTTTTCTGGTAAAAATTAAAGTTTTAAATTTGTTAAAGTACTGTAAATTTTTGTATAAATAAACCCAAAAAAAAAAAAAACTCCAAAAATTCAAACGAATACCTCCACATTTGTAAAATAAAAATTTTTTTTGATAAAAAATATCATTTCATATTTCATTAAGCATGTCTTCATTCACAACAATCCCACAATTCACGCAACCAATCTCAAAAACTTCCCCCATTGGAATTATCGGTGCAGGCCCTGCCGGCATATCAATAGCTTATAATTTACGAAAAGAAGGATACAAAAACATCACGATCCTTGAATCATCATCACACATCGCAGGGAAATCCGCTACCTTCTATCATGAAAATAAAGGTTATGATGTAGGAGCATTGATGGTCGGCCATAATTACACGAATATAAAAGCTCTCGCCTCTGAACTTGATTGCCCTCTTGAAACATTTTGCGGCCGTGCACTCGATATCGATAATAATACCTACTACGTAGATAACACAGATAAAATTGGTATCTACCCCAAACTGCTGCCTAACCTAAACCATTACTTGGAAGAGAAACAATCCTTTTTGGATATCTCTCGACCTGGTCATGGTCAATTAAGTGAATGTGAACTATACGCACCCATCACCCAATTCTTAAAGGACCGAGACATGCCCTATTTAAAGGACGCTTGGAGTTTGGCTTACACCAGTGCTGGATACGGTTACGTTGAGGATGATATTCCAGCAGCCTACTTCCTCAAATTTATTGAAAATTCCGAAAATACGATTTCGTATTTTAAAAACGGTTTCCAAGACTTTTGGTCAAAGATGGCAGAGGTATGCGATCGGGTTTTCTTTTTTGAAATTTTGAAACGGCAACTTTTTTGCTGCGCCAACTAAACTTTTTTTTTTTTTTTTCCAGAAACTCAATGTGATATGCAATGCCAAAGTCATATCGGTTGATCGTTCTCTCAAACAACAAAATTTAGGACCAATACTTGTCACAATTCAAAATTCCCTCCAAGACTTCTCCCAAACCCTCGCATTCGACCACATCATCATTGCCACGAACCCTCGTCAAACCGAACAATTCCTTTTACCAACTCCGGTAGAAAAGGACCTCTTCTCAAAAATCATCACCTTCGAATTTTATACAATCATCGCCACAGTCAAGAATCTACCAACAAAAGTTGGGATGACAACCATCCCAAAGTTTTGTTCGGATAAACGTTATGTTGGTCACATCACTGCGTATTACTGCGCTTATGATGGAGTTCCAACTTACATCTTCTATGCATACGGAAATAAAGAAATCGGTCCTGAAAAGGTTACCGAAATGGTCAAACAAGATATTATAGATATGGGCGGAGACCTAGAGGAAATACATTATAATAAACGATGGGATTTCTTTCCTCATGGTAAATGATAGTTTTTATTTATCCTCATTATTTTTTTTTGCCTCTAAAAAATTTTTTCCTAAATTTCCTTTTTTCTGGTTAATAGTTTCCTCACTAGAAATGGCAAGAGGCTTTTACAGCAAGGTTGAGAACATGCAAGGACAAAATGGAACTTTCTATGTCGGTGGCTGGTTAGACTTTGAGCTAACCGAGAATTGTGTATCCTATTCACGTGATTTGGTCAGGCGATTCTTCAACCTTTCCAATAATCCAGAAAAATCGGCACATTTACCAATCCAATCGCAAATTGAGATCAAGCCTGCCTCCACGCTTAATTGGGGTATGGTGTTACGTTTAGCTGCCAAACGGTTCCCTAATAAAATCGCCTTCACCTGGGTCGATGTTAACATCCGGGCGGAGGCGACGATCTCATATGCACAATTATACAAGCAGGCCCGATCTGTGGCTCACTATTTAAGGAATAAAGCGGGACATAAAGTTGGTGACCCAATCTTACTATGTTATGCCCCCGGTCTTAAATTCCTTCCGATTTTATTTGGTTGTATGTTAGCAGGAATAATCGCTGTTCCAATAGCCCCACCAAATCTTGCAACGGCCGAAAAAGATATTGCCAGGTTCAAATATTTAGCCCAAACTACTGGTGCAAAGTTAGTATTTTCGGACCGAAATTACATGAATTATACCAGATTGTACGCCGCTAGTAGTTTTATTGGGATCGGAAAAAAGGTCGACTGGCCTGAAGATTTAACTTGGGTTGAAGGAGAAAGCATCGTTTCATCATCGGAACTATTTGATGAAAAATTAATTGAAACAGTAGGATGTGAAAACGTTGCCGTTTTACAATTCTCTTCCGGAAGTACGGGGGATCCAAAAGGTGTCATGTTAACCCATAAAAATCTCTTACACAACGTGGACCTGATGCAAAATGAAATCAACCTGGATGAGGACAGTACGATAGCCTTCTGGGTACCACAATTTCATGACCTTGGCCTGATCGGGGGTTTCTTAAATACGATTCGGGGAGGATGTCAGTCAGTCGTTATGTCACCTTTAACATTTTTACAAAATCCTGCCAGCTGGCTTCAGATGATAACGAATTATCAAGCCACGTTTACTGCGGCCCCAAACTTTGCCTACGAATTAGTGGCTCGAAAATGTGAAGATAAGATTATTGGAAAGTTGGACTTCACCTCATTACGTGGTGCTTTTAATGGTGCTGAACCTGTACGTTGGTCAACCTTGAAATCCTTTGCCAAAAAATTCGGACCCGCAGGATTTAAACTTTCAACATTCAAGTGCCTTTATGGCTTAGCTGAACATTGTGCTTACTCGGTAGGGTTCAGGAACAAACATGATATTCCAACGGTTATAGACATCGATCCCGATTTACTTCGTGAAGGACGGGTTAAAATTCAAAGTGGACATCAAGAAAATAATATCGTTTCAACTGGTGTGCCTAATTTGGCCATGCAAGTTGAAGTTAGAGTTGTTGATCAAGAAACCAGCCAACTTTGTTCTCCAAACGTTATTGGTGAGGTTTGGGTATCTAGTCCTAGTGTTGGAAAGGGTTATTATGGAAAGAAGGAGATAAGCGAAGACACATTCAAAGCAAAGTTGGGCAATAACGACCACGGTAATTGGGTTACTGATAGTGGAAGTTTCTTAAGGACCGGTGACCTTGGATTCCTACATAATGGGGAACTCTTTATTACAGGACGCGTAAGTATTTAATTTTTTCCTTTACGAGTTGATTCACGTGATACGCAGCAAGATATTAATCCTTTATTATTGTTATTTTTTTTTTTTTTTTGATGCCTTTATAGCAAAAGGATGTGATTATTATCAATGGTAAGAATCATTACCCACAGGACATCGAATTGACAGTTCAACAATGTCATAATGATATTCGACCTGGATGCATTTGCGCAATCAATCATTCCGATGCCGAAAATGGCACAGAGTCGCTTGTCGTCCTCGTTGAGATCAGACAACAAAAGGTGATTCAACAAGAGACCTTACAAGAAATTTGTGATTGCATCTCACGAGCCGTTCCAGGAAACCATGGTCTTCCATGTCAACGCATTGTACTATTAAAGCAACATAGTTTGCCAAAAACGACTAGCGGAAAACTTCAACGCTCCAAGGCAAAGGATATGTTATTTGGTGGCCTAATGGATAAAAAGATTCTTATCAGTATCGGAGAAGAATCCAATGAAGTTCCTTCAAAATCACGCAGCAGAAATGTAAAATTTTCTCCACAAGCACCTATAGTAGACTTGAAATCAATTGAACGAAAGATATGCGTTCATGTTCACCGAATTTCTAAATTGGCAGCCAAGAAACCAGTTAGTGAAATCGATGTTCAAGCCAATTTAATCACGTCTTACGGGTTCGATTCACTCGGAGCTGTGCAATTAACGGCCTGCCTCAAAGAAGAATTTGGCATTGAAGTCGCTCCTGCTCTTTTGATGGATTTACCAACAATCTCTGGATTGGCTGGACATGTATTAAAACAGTTACCTCCTCCTTCAAACGTGATTTATGAGGAACCGCTTTCAATTTCTGAAGAAGAAGAAGAAGAAGTTGTAGAAGAAGTAACCGCCTTGACAATCCAACAAATTCAAGAAAAGATCGCCAGTCATGTGCACGCCATTTCAAAAGTGGCAGGAAAGATCCCCAAAAATCAACTAAATGTCAACGCCAATCTCATTACTGACTATGGATTCGATTCATTAGCCGCTGTACAGTTGACTGCTTCAATGAAGCAAAGTTTCGGTGTTGAGATTGCCCCCGCCTTATTATATGATGTGCATACTATTGCAGATTTAAGTGGGCATGTTAAAAAACTACTCCCAAAAACGGTCATAAAAAAGAAACAAAAAATTCGTTCCGTTACTTCAAAAATTTCTCAAAGAAAAGTTATAACAATCGAAGATGATGGAAAAGAAGCTCCAATAGTAGTTCCCTTAGCCCCAAAGAATGTTGTCAATAAACGCAACGCACCACTTTATTGCATACATCCATTATTGGGTAATGTGGCAAGTTATGTCTTTCTCGCAAAGAATCTCGGGATTTCCCGACCAGTGTATGGTATTCAAGCTCCTAGTGATGTTGAAGCTGACATAAAAACCTTAGCTCGAAGATACGTACGCGCGATTCAATTACATCAGCAGACCCAACCATATTATTTATGTGGATATTCTTATGGTGGGTTACTTGCCTGGGAAATGGCAAGAATATTACAAGAACTTGGAGCAAAAGTTGGTGGACTTTACCTAATTGATGCGCCTGCCCCACTTCAAAAAAGCGTTAGCAGAACATCATTGGATGGTGAGGAACCACATCTTCTTTGGAAAGATGATATTGAAAAATTATTAAATGATGTCGACTCTCAATGGATGATTCGATCGGAAAATGAAGATCCTGCTAAAATAGAAGCGTTCAAGAGACAAGTTGGAACTTTAATCGCTTCGATGTATGCATATACATCAGATCTTACAACTACCGAATCAGTTCAACAATTCCCAATCCATTATTGGAGGGCAAAGGATTACGCAGGAAAAACGAGCTCATTACTCCTTGATCATCCATTATTTCATGAACCGAACTTTGGTTGGGAACATTACCGAGGAGAAATCATATTCCACCGAAGTATACCAGGTCATCATTACAACGTATTACGTGAGGAAACATCCGGACGGTTGGCCAGAGAACTTGAGACAAATATGCCAAATCAAAGTAGAAGAAGCAGCATGGATCTTAGACCGCTAATGTTAGAGAAACTTGCTACATCATCACGAAAAAGTTCACCTACCTCTTCTTCAGCTTCTTTTCCATTGTTCCGTTCAAATTCAAAATCAAAGAATATGGCCGAATTAGTAATGAATACACAAGTACCATTACCCATAGTGCTAGTGGTCTTATTATTCTGTATATATTTCTACAACCTTTTAATATAATATTATCTTTGATTTTGAACTAAAAAAAAAAAAAGAATACTGATACGAATTTTTTTTTAAAAAAAAAAACTTAATTAATTTTTCACTAGTTCACTAGTTCATAATGTTTCTTTTTATCCAATTTATTTATTTTTTGATCTTTATCTTTTTGTGATATAGTTTGTACATAATAAAACAAGATTGTAACATTTTTTTGAAAAAAAAAAAAAAAAAAACGTGTCTGAATGTCAATTGAAAAGTTTTAAAGTGTTATTTGCAAAAAATTCGCGATACATGAGCTAATGATAAATGCCAAAATAACTTCTTTTCAGCTTTATGTCGAAATTAGAATTGGTGATGCTCTAATAAATTTCACAAATAAGTTTCTAAATTCTCTTTGCCTCGAAATTACAATTTATTTAACCGAAACCTGACCAAGTAATTTAATGATTTTATCACACGAGCCTTTTTTTAAATAGAACTATTAGTTCGTAATTCATGGTAATACTGTTATGGCCAATCATGCATAAACTGTGAAGTCGCTATAAATTCTTCAATGTTAGTCTCTCGTATTATTTCTTTCGAAAATCAAAGCATCTCATTCATGAGTTGTTAACCCTTCTCAAAAAAGATGCAAGGCTTAAAATACGTCAGATTTTTTTATTTATTTTATTTTATTTTTTTTATCGCAAACTTTAAATTTCTTTATGTTCGAAATTTTTTTTTTTTATTTATTTATTTATTTATAAGCTTAATATGTTGTCTTTTATTTTAGTATATCAAGAAATATATTAAATTAGGTTCGCTAGCAACATTGATATATCTCAAAATCAGCTTACGTAATCTTTAACTATAAAATTAAAATATATTAAATTACATTTAACTGTAACGTTTTCATTTATATGTTATACAGAACATAAATAAACCGTTTTTGTTTTCTGTTCCCTTCATTTTAAGAAATAAAAAAACTAATTTAGGGTTGGTGCAATTGTATGATAATCAAAATTATCCATGTACACTATACCAAACATGGCTAATCAAATGGTAAAATGCAATTAATGCAGGTATGAAGAATCCGTATCACTGAGTTTAAAAAAAAAAATTCTAAACTATATTCATCATTTTTAAAAAGAAAGTGTGTAGAGAACTTGTCATTTGAATTTTTGAGAAAAGAAAGCCATTACGATTTAAGTAATGATCAAGGGAATAATAATTAAATGTGGCTGTGCATATCATAATTGTTAAAAAAAAAAAAAAATGAATAAATAAACAAGAATTCGTTACATTCTCAATTCTCAATTTTTTCAATAAAAAAAAAAAAATGTTAAACAAGAACGTTATTACGATAGGAATCAGGTAAATGAAAAAAATTATTCTTTATTAATTTTTACCGTTACCGTTACTCATCTTAAACAAAAATCAATCGTAGCGGTGCATCATGTTCCGGTAAATCTGTATGTAACTATGTTTTTAAGAAAAAAATCAATCTTTGAATTGGATGTTTATAAGATTTTTATGTTACTATTAATAGACATTGGCAAGTTTGTTAGGAAAGATTCTTCCAAACACGACGATATTATATCAAGATGATTTTTTCAAGGTAAAATGTTTCTCCTAAAAAAAGAAAAAAAAAAATTTTTTTAAAAAAATTCACTTCATTTTTTAAGAACGATGACGAAATCCCAACTGATCCGGTGACCAAACTTCCAAATTGGGATTGTCAAGGGGCAATAGATTTCGATTCATTCGTAAAAACGCTTCGTCATTTACGTAAAACTGGTATTCTTCCACCAACGTTCGTTTCTAAAGAAAGTAAAAATAACCGTAATGAGGTTGGATCTGCCGAAATAAATAACTTGGTTAACGAATTATCCGAACGAGTTATGAATCTATTAGAAGAAAATGGTGAAAAGAAGGATGAATGGAGTTTTTTGTTCGTTGATGGGTTTTTGTTATATGTCGATCAAGACGTTATCAATGAATTGGATATTAAATTATTCGTTAAAACGAAACGTGAAATATTAAAACGACGAAGAGAAGCTAGATCGGGTTATGTCACCATAGAAGGTATTGTAAAGACAATATATATATATATATATATTCTTTCTTACCTGTTGAATTTATTATTTTTTATTTTTTATTTATTTTATTTTATTTTCAAGGATTTTGGGAAGACCCACCAAATTATTTTGAAAATATAGTTTGGCCAAATTATGTCCAAGCCAATAAGCATATATTAATGCAATCGGGAGATTTAGAAAAGGATGAAAATTTAGTGTCTAAAATAATTAATGATGATTTAATTATATTAGAATCCGATGACGTTTCAATGTTGACTAAAAACATTGAAACATCAATAATGAAAGTTTTAGATCATATTAAGAAAAAAATTATCAAGGAAAATCATGTGTTGATCTGTGGAATCTGATTTCCGTACTTGTGATCTAAGGTCCATTAGCAAACTAATTTGGAAATCTTAAATGGAAACAACGGTCCTCTGTATACATTTGTTAGGAGGATATAGATATGTGTCCTAATAAAGAAAAAATGAAATTTAAACAATAAAAAAAACACGTATTGTAATGGATTCGAAATTCATTTATAAAATGCAAAAAAAAAAATTTTTGATGCTTGAAAAAAAAAAAAAAAAAATTATTATTTCCACCCAATTTCAAAAAAAAAAAAAAAAAAAAAACTAAATAATAATAACGATTATCAAAATGGTTAGAGTAAATTCGCCATTAGCGGAAACTCCATCCGCACGAGATTACATCGATATAATGGTGGAAATTAAAAAGCTCGGATTATTTAGCAACTTTGAAGAGCATACGCCAACAATTGTGGTCTTTGGTGATCAATCAAGCGGTAAAAGTTCTGTCTTGCATAGATTAACTGGTGGTTTACCAATTCCAAGGTAGATTATAAAATACATATTCGCCATTTCATTTCATTTTATTTAAATCCTTCTTTATCATCATCACAGAGGATCTACAAAATGCACGGCAACACCTTTTGAAATACGTATGCTGCAAACCGAAGAATCAGTCAGTAAAGTTTCTCTGCGGTACATCGAAGATAAAAACCGTAAAATTGTGGTATCAAAAGAAGTTGAATATTGTAACTTATTGGGCTTGAGCGAGTCTGAAGTCGAAGCGAAATTGCGTGAAGCTCAACGTTATGTACAAAATCCAAGTATTACTGACATTAAAAATGGACGATTGCCACCCACGGATTCTGATGAGTTGGCTTTTACAAGAAATGCTGTATGCGTTACAATTAGTGGACCGGATCAAGCTTATAGTTTATCCATGGTTGATTTACCGGGTAAATAGATATTACATTTTTATATATACATATATAATTTATTTATTTCTCTTATTACTCCTCTTCTGCAGGAATCGTACGAAACCACGAAGAACATGAAAATTTCGTATTATCCTTGGTAAAAGAATATATCAAGAAAGAATCGGCAATTTTGCTCCCAATCTTTCAGGCAACCTCGGACATAGCCACGCAATGTGCATGGCGTCTTGCACGTGAAGCAGATCCAAGTGGCAAACGTACAGTAGGTGTTTTGACAAAAATCGATCGTATCATCGATTATTCGCAGGATGACGAAAAACACGTTGAGCTCGCCACTCTAGTAAAAGGCAAAGGAGAGCATCAAATTACAAATGGTGTTTATATTATAAGGAATCCTACCATTGGGGATAGTCATAACCCAGATGAACTGGAAGCCATAACCATTAGGACTCTTAAACAACATAGAATTTGGAGGGAGGTACCGGCTAATAGATTTGGCTTGCAAAATTTGATCATGAAATTAAGTGAATTACAAGGTCAGGCTCATGAACGGTCATGGCCACACATCCGTCCCCTTTTGGAAGAATGTAGAGATGATTTTGAAGAAAAATTAAGGAGTCTTCCACATAAACCTGGTGGAAATCCAAGTATCCGTTTCTTGGAATTAATTGGTTCATTCGACAAATTATTCACTTCTCACGCGAATGCCGAACATGTGGATCATAGGTTGTATCGTGGGCAGCAATGGAACTTTGGTCAATTCGATCAAGCATTATTGAATACTCGTCCAGTATATAAACTCACGTTTGACGGTGAGGTAAAAAACACTGAAACGTTTGATCCCATAAGACCTGGTGCGTTGCAATATCGTGGATGGACGAAAAATTTAAGAGATGAAATTACAGCTGACAATTGGGGTGAGTTGAACAAGAAAGACGAAAATGATTATATATGGAATTTAGAACAACTTTGTGAAGTCGTACAAGGAAGCCAAGGTGGCCAATTGGTTGGTTTCTTTCCATTTAAAGCGGTGGTTGCCATTGTTGCAAAGCATCAAAAAGATTGGTTTCCGATTTCTACCAAATTGTTGGATAAAAATCATGATTGGATTGGCCAATTCGTTGACGAATTGGCAGATTCCACCTTTAAAGAGTTCCCAAATGTTATTCAAGAAATCAAGTAAGTTGAGACAATAATTTTCGCGTTTTCACGTGATTTTAGCAATCAATTGACTTTCCTTTTTTTTTTAAAAAAAAAAAAAAAATGAAAATGAATAGGACCATTTTACGCAAGTTATTAAAGAATTGTAAAGATGAAACGTTAAAACGTCTTAAAGATCTTGAAGACATGGAACACATGTCTGCCAGTAGAGCTCTTTATGTGACAGATGAAGCCAGCATCCTAAAAAAGCAGTCAAAATATTTTATCAAACTTCGAATATTATCAGCAGTATCAAAACAAGAGGGTCAAGACTTAAAAACGATTATGGAATTAGGATCAAAATTATTCGACATGATGTATAGCGAAGATACTATCGAAGAGGATTTTGAGAGAGTAAAATCAGACTTGATTAATCTCATTACGGATTGCCATGAGAATTTGGATGATTCATCCCAAAAATTAATTGAAGAAATCAAAAGCTCTAGGATTTCAACAGAGATGCCATCAACGGCAACTCTATCCATGATGTTGATTATTAAAAATCAATACCTAGACAAATTAATTGGGGTGGTTCCCAAATCTGAGGATTCTACAAATCAAACCATATTAAGAACTACCGTCAACGAACACGCTTTTCTTGCTGCTACGGTATATCTTTTAATACAATATCAAGTGTGTAAGATTAATATTTTTTTCGTCGAATTAATTTAAAAAAATTTTTGCATTTTTAGGGAGCCTTGGCATATTGGAAAATGTCGCACTCTAAATTTCGGGAGGTCGTACCACGTGTAGTAGAATATTACCTTGTACATCAATTTGCCATCCGTCTAGGAATGCATTTACGTCAACATTTCAGACTATTGGGATCAGATCCGGAACCTTCGGAGTCACCAGAAAATCCCGAACATATAGACTTGAAGAATTTATTAGGTGAAGACCCATTGTGCGCAAAGAATCGTGAAGAATGGGAAAATAATAGTGCCGTACTTAGTAGTATCATTGATAGGGTTCGAAAAGCTTCTGTAAGAAATCATCAAGGTACTACTAATGGTCATCGTAGAAGTCGTAGATAAATAACACAAAAAACGAATGTAAAATAAGGAATTCAGTATTTATTTTATGAAATATCACAGAATGTTTGAAAAATAACCAAAAAATATAAATATAAATATCAAATAAAAATAAAAATAAATGGATTGAAAAACTTTTTTTGTTTTGTAAAGATTATTTTTTACAGAAGGATGTTAAAATGTCCTATTGAACTTGTTCCATAACCTTTACATCGATTTTTATACCACTTGCATCCCCTGTTTCATCATTTACAACCATCCTTTGATTTTTTTGACTTGTTTGATTTTCTTGATTTTCTTGATTTGCTTTCCTGGAATAAATGCCCCTTTTAAGCCTAGCATCTTTTCTATCATTTCTTACGGCCAAAGGTTTTTGTTTCCATTTAAATTCTTCATTCAAAAATAATCTACCTCTCTTTAATTCTAATTTTTCATGTTGAACAAAGATGGGCCATTCCATCCCCTTTTGTTCCTTTGGTAAGTCCACCATTGCCATTCTTTCCCAATAAATTTTCAATAAACTATTTTGTTTTGATTCCATTTCACGCGCTTCAAGTTGTCGTAAAGATTGACATAAGGCTAATACACTTGATTCAACTAAATTCATGTCCTCATGAATGCGTAAACGTTTCTCCATTTTATAATATTCTGAAGATTTCGGTCGATTTTGAAGTTTACGCAAAATTATATTACTGGTGGTCATTACTGAACCATAAGAAGAAAATCCTGATATTGCAACAAATGGAGTCCAATGATCTTTACGAAGTTTATGAGGACGTAATGCGGCATCTTTTATTTGTCGTAAATATTTACTCTTGAAAAAAATATATATTTAGGAATTATTATTATTATTATTATTTTATTGAATTACAAATGTCTCGAACTAAATACCTGTATAATTCTTCCAACAGTAACTAAAACTTGAGAAGTTTGTACATGTCTATACATAAATAATTGATCTAATCTCCTTTTACAATTTATTTCGAACTTCATTTTTTTTGAATGAATTCAAATCGTAAATGGGTTATATTTATAATAAAAAAAAAAAAATAAAAAAATTTAAGCCTGATCAACTGATAAGCGATCGTGTAACTTAATCAATTTTGTTCCCAGTAGATCTATTTTTACTTTTATCGTTATATGCCTTTTTATAAAATCTAATGAATAATATCAAAAAACTTCCATTACAAAACATAGAAAATATAAATGCATTAAATCCTAATTGACATTTATTCGTAAAATGGAAATAAAGATATGGTATTGACAAGATAAATGATGTTGAGAATTGTATAATTTGTCCCGTGGTAATATATTTCTATAAATATAAATAAATATATATAAAAAATAATATTTAAGTTTAAAAGTTATGATTTTTATTCAAAGAAACAACGAAAAGAGTAAATTACCTTAAACCATACTGATCTTCCTAAAGACGTGGAAAAGTAATAATAATACATGAAAACATGGATAAGAGTATTTGCGATCATTCCGATACTTGTTTTGTAAAGAGAGTAGAATATTTAGTATTTCATTAATATTCGCCTTGAACAAACGTAACACTATTTATTTATTTACCTCGCATACATATTAGCATCTTCAAGCCACGACCAAACCATAAGGATGACGATAGCATGATGATACCAATGAAGAAAAATAATAGGTTTCTGAAATACAATTTATAAATCATTGTAAGTTTGACGGCTAACCTTTACTTAAGAATAAATAAATATCTTACCTTCTTTAAAACTAAGATCACGGTATCAAACAATTCATCGAATTTTGATAAATAATAAGCATAAGTAACATAAAATAACCTTCCTTTATTTGAAGAAGAATCAGAAGTACAAAAGCATTCTCCAATTCCACGTTCCTAATTTAGTTAAAAAAAAAAGTCCAACAATTAAATCATAACCAAAAAAAAATAGATCATTTAATAATAATTTTATTACCTGGTATCGATGAAAAAAATCAATTACAGCATATCCAAACATAATAGCTGATAAAAGACATAATATTAGATTATGCGCTGCTGTACCATATCGCATTGAAAATGGTGTAGTTGATGACATAATGGCCTTAACGTAAAAAGTTGGACTTAACAATTAATTTCTGCTTCTATTAAAACAAAAAGTAAAAAAAAAATTAATTACCTTCAGACCGATAATAGTCACAAAATAAGTTGCCCAGGCACCCACAACAAACTATAATAAAACCAATTCTTTTTAATTTTTATACTCTGTGTTATTCTGCTTAATATGACTCTAACCTGCCAATTAGAAAAGGGCGTAATTCCAACTTTCCATTGAAATTCATTAGGTTCCGTAAATTGTGAAAAATCCCAATTTGATGTATTATATGGAATTGAAAAAATTTCTTCAATTCGAGAAATTAAATTCTTCGCGTCAGTCATAATTAAAAATTAAAAACCGGTATTAAAAAAATAAAATAAATCATTGTGATCAATTTATAGTTAATTTCGTGTTACTTAATTAATATTATACAGAAAATGTACAAACTAGGTAAGACTTTATGAATTAAAATTACTTTGGAAGTTAATTTATTTTAATTTTTTTATAGAATACTAGAATTAAATTATCAATAATTACAACTAAAATTACAATATAATTTTTCCAAAATCAAATTTTCTATTTTATTGAATGAATCATATTACACTTGTTCCATTGGTTCAATGTCGTTTTTCTCTAACAAAGAAATTTTACTTGGCGATGAATGCTGACGTAATTTTACACCGGCTTCTTTAAGAATTTTTGCGGTTTTCTCGTCCATACCGTAAGACCTTTGTTATTGAAGAATGATCAGGGAATATATTCAAGACAAAGAATTTGTAAATGAGTTTGTGATTTCTCACCGATTGTAAACCACTTCAACGATTCCAACTTGAATTAGCTTCACTGAACATCCTAAATTAATGAAACCTACGTAAAATTATTCTAAAAATGATTTATTACGTGTCAAATTTCATACCTAAACACGGACATCTAAAAAAGAAAAATTAAATTAATCGTTTGAATATAAATCAATCTCTTGATTCATATTAGTCTAAAACTTACGTGTTACAATACAAGATGCACCCTACACCAACTCTTTCTTTTCCTGCTTCTAATAACGCGTTTTCTTCAGCATGAAGACAAAGACAAGAATCCAATCCTTTTCCACATGGCACACCATCATTGCAACGTTCACAACCACCTTCGTTGCAATTTTTCAATCCTTTTGCCGTACCATTATAACCAGTAGCTATAACCCTATGATTCTTTACTAATATACAACCGACTTTACGTTTCATGCAATTGGATCTAGAAGCTGCTAAATCAGATAAATGCATAAAATAAGTGTCCCAAGTTGGTCTTAGTCGATCCGAATCCGTAACGTTTATGCTAATGAGATAAGAATAAAGCGGAGGTAATGATAAGTATGAATTAGCTATAAATATATCTGCAAGTGACATTATTTCAAAAATTGATGTGGTGGTATTATAGTCTTCTTCTTCGTCTGACGTCATTGATGTCTCCCGTTGTTGTTCCTGCTGTGTAATTGGTAATGTGAATTCGTTATTTGGAGCGACACTATTGAACAATTGTTGATCACTTGCAATAACGAATTCATCCAATGTTGGTTCAGGTAATCTAAATTCTTGACAACTTTTAAATCAAATTAAAAATCAGAATCCGCCTCGGATTTTTAAAATTTGAATTATAAATTTAAATTACCGAAATAAACATCGTTGATATCGAATAGTTATGGGACTGTCTACTGTCAACAACAAGAAGAATGGGCGTTTTCTAATTATAAATGAATTAAATGTCAAAGAAAATAATTATTGATAGTAAAAGTTAAATATAATATAAACCTATATAATTCAAGAATTTTATGATTGTCAATATCACACGTCACAAAGTTGTCTATCCAATTCTTCGTAACATAAAATAACAAGTCTTTTGGAGTATTAAACTGTATTGCGGTAAGACCATAATGTTCAGTGTTTTTAAGTGAAAGTAATGTAAAACCATGAGTTGTAATGAGCCACTTTGCAATAGAATGTTTTCCAGAACAAATGGGTCCAGTAATTCCAATAAACATTTTTTTATTCTCGAATTGTTTTATGGTATTTATGGTTTTATTCCAAGAGGTTAATAAATCTATTGATTTATGTCGGCACTAGATGATCGTCTGTTATTTATAAAACAATGCAATTTAAACCTTATTAAATTATATTACCAAAAAAAGTCAATTTAAATTAGAAGATAACTTTATTAATTTTATTATTAGTATCAATAGATTTTTTTTAAAAATTCATATATTACATATAAAAATAATTTGATAATTTTGTTAGTAATCTATATCAATTATCTATCAAATTTTTTACATCGGTGTAACTATAGTTAAAATAATAAGAAATAATTATTAGAAATATCAAGCTTTTTTAATATCATTTAATCTAATAATTCAAAAAATTAAAATATAATAAATTTGTTAAATCTGATTTAACTAGAAATTAATTTATATAATAAATTAAAATAATAAATAAATTATCTTTATTTTTAAAATGTTTGTAAAAATAAAATCTAAAAATATATTATTAAAATAATAAATTATATAAAATTATATAAAGATAAAAATATTGTAATGATAAAAAAATGCAAAAACTTTAGTTAGTATTTTTATAATTATAAAAAAATTTAAAGTTTAATATACTTTTTAATTTTAAATTAGAATTTTTTAATATAATTAATTTAAATTAAAATAATAAATTTTAAGAAATTATAGTCTTTAATAATTTTGATTAAATAAAAATAATTTGAAAAATTTAATAAAAAAAAAGTTATTGTATTATAAACAAATATTAATAATTTGATTGATTTATATAGTATAGTATAAAATATTAAATATACTAACATAATTAACATGTTTGACATTCTTAATATATTTAATATAATTGACATATTTGATTTATCTAATATATTATTAAATAGAATATTAAAAGTTTATATAGAGAACTAAAATTCATCATAGAAAAATAACTATCTTTATTAGATATAATTTAAATAGTTCATCTCAAAGGCTGTATATAGATCTTAGTTTAGTTATGTGCTCTTTTAATTATTTTCTTTTTTTTCTTAATTTCTTATTTTTATTATTTATTATTTATTTTTCTTATTTTATTAAATGATCCATTTAATTTAATTTGTAACTTCTACATAAAACTTTTTAAATATTATAAATAATATTTGATTTAATCTAGGTAGATGTGAATATACTTTACATTATATAATAAAATCATTACCTTAATTTATTGTTTGAATATATTTTACAAATATATAATAATACTATTAATTTAATTATTATAGATTTGAATATATTTTGTTGAATATAATAGAATCATTAATTTAATTTATTATAGATTTAAATATACTTTATGATATATAATAAAACTATTAAATTAATTTATTAACTATTAATTTACTACATAAATTATAAATTATAAAAAATTAATTTTCAAATATCACTTCTAATTACTATAGTTTGTAAAAATTACACATTAATAATATAAAAAAAAAAATTTTATTATATTAATTTATATTTTAATATAAAATATAAATTAAAAAGTATTTATAAAACTTAATAATTCTAGATTTATTTTATTAAATAATAACTATATTAATAAAATTAATTTTTATTTTTATTTTAAAAGTAAATAAAATTAAAAAACTTTTAATTTACTTAATAATTAGTATAATTATAGATAAAGAATAAAATCTTTTAATAATAAACTAAATGAGACAAAACTATATTAAAATTATAATAAAGAATAAGATTATATAGATACATTTGTTGAAAATTTAATTAATATTTAGTAGAATGTTTCTTTTCTAAATATTTTTTTAAAGTTTCAGTTAAAGAAAAGCTACTATATACAATTGCATATATTCAATATGTTTGTGATTCTTTTGTTTTAGTAAAAAATTTATTTACTTAAAATAAAGATAATAAGATTTTATTATTTCTTATTGGCCTTCCATTAGATTTTTTAGTTCTATAATTAATAATATCTATAAATATAATTACTAATATCTGTTATATCACTAATAACATCAAAAAAAATTCACTAAATATTTTTATAATTTTTAAAAGAAAAGGAAAGCACAAATTGAAAAGTAGAAATTACATACAAATAATTTATTAATTAGTAATAAACTTTTTTGATCAATATGTCTTATATAATTATATTGTATTATTGTATAATTTTTTAAAAGTCATTTTCTCAAATATACAATATTCTAAATTGGCTATTTTTCTGAAATTTTTAATATTCTAAATTCTAATATTAATTCTTCAAATCCTGATTTTCTGAATTCTAATTTCTGAAAGTATAATATAAAAAAATTAAAAATTATTTACAAAGTTCTTTAATATCATATTTATAATCCATTAAATAATTTTCTATATACTGTGTAATCATTATATATATATCTATATAAATTAAAATCTATCCAATTATCTATTTATTTGATCATATAATATATTATACTAACTAATCATCTGAAATTTTGTGAACAAATTTTGATTTTAGTTTATAATAATATTATAATATCTAAATAATTAATAAAAATTTATACAGAATTAATGATAAGGAATAAAACCTCTTAATAACAGTCAAAACTTAGATAAAACTATATTAAAATTATAATAAAGGATACGATAAAATCCTTTTGATATGACTAAAGTTGAAACTGTCAAAACTATAAAAAAACATAGAAAAGGATATGATAAAATTATTTTAAGGAGGTTTCAGCAGGCATCTATACACCGGATGTTTGAATCTGTATTATAAATCATATGATATTGATAAAAAAATTTATGCAAGAAGTTTGAATTTGTATTATTAATCAATAAAGAAATTTCAAATTTTATACAAGGGTTTGAACCTGTATTGTCAAATTACATATAATTCATTTTTTGTTAGATGATTATTATATTTTTATAGTTGTATCAATCATTTTATTTCATCATTTTTCTTCTCTCTTCATTATAAGATGTCTAAAGATAACACTTATAATAATGTTCTATATAATAACATCTATGATATTCTATATAATAATGCCTATGATAATATCCCATATGATAACACCTGCAAAAATACTCGTAAAAATTTTTTTTATAATAACAATCACAAAAATTTACTACTTTATTATGACACTCACAAAAATCTACTTTATAGCACTCATGAAACCTACTTTATTATAACTTCTGCAAAAATCTACCTTATGATACCTACGAAAATCTACTTTATTATGACACCCATAAAAATCTACTTTATGACATCTTTTTAATTTATAAGACTCACAAAAATTTTTTTCATGATGTCATTCGTAAAAATCTACCTTATGATAATGATACTTGTGAAACTTATTTGATAATGATACTTGCAAAACCTATTTGATGATAACATCTGTGAAAATTTTACTCATGATGTCATCATAAAATCTACCTTATGATAACACTCACAAAAATTTATCTAATTATAACATTCACAAAAATTATGATACTTGCGAAAATTTTTCTCATGATAATGCTATCTGTAAAAATCTATTATATAATAACTAAAACATTAATATTTTAACTTCTTTGTATCAAGTAATACACTTTTTCCTTATATATTAAAATTTCATCTTCTAAGTATTTTAATCATTAGTGTTTCTGATCTTTCTCTCTCTTCCCTCTTCTTCCTTCTCATAGGTTATGAAATAAGTGATAATGATAATGATAAGCCTACAGATTCTTTAGAATTGATATCTGAATTAACTTTTGACAGCTAAAATGAATTTAGAAGTTAGATTAACATGTTTATTTTAATAGAAGGTTTTAATTACAAAATCAGAACAAGTAAGAAAGTTGAAGATGTGATGTGAAGAGTTGCTTATGAATGTGTCAAATCAGGTTCATATACTTCTCAAATAATTTTTAATCTAATTAAAAGATGTAATACTAGTTCTTCAAGAATATTATACCTCTGAAAACTAAATGTTATCTACTTAAAAACAAGTGGTGTTGTAAAGATCAACTCTTTTAATAATAAACATAATTACCTACTTACTTCAATGATTTGTAAAATAGTATTATGATTTCATAAATTAACACTTAAGATACTAGTAGATATCAAAAAGTATGTGATTCAAGGTTAAATGGACTTATCATTTATCTATCCTTTACTTAAACATGATTATCTAAAATAACCTATATATAAAAAGGATTTGTATAATATGATCTATCAATTTCATCAAAAAAATAATTTAAAAAATATAGATGCCTTCCAAATATTTGAACTATTAATAAAATAGAAAGATGTTGAATCTCACTAGATTGTAAAACTTTAGTTAAATCCTGTTTCAAGAAAATTAAACATCCCCTTATGGATGTTTTTTATATAAAGAGAATTATATGACAAATACAATAATGTTACAATTATTGATACTGCTTACAATACTAACTGATTTTAAATAATATTTTGCATCATATCTGTAGTTGATAATAACTATAAGTCATAAATTGTTACATCTTCCATAATTAATAATGAAACATTAAATACTTATCAATGATTATTTGATACTATACTTACTGAAACAAGTATTTTTTTTGAAGTTATTTTTACTGACTCAGATTCTTCTATAATTTGAGCAATTAAAGAAATTTATTTTAATACCCACCACATGTTATGTATTTTTCATATTGATTTGAACCTTCAGAAAAAGCTTAAAGGTAAATTAGGCAATAAGTTTAAGGAATTTTGTCATAAATTCTATACATGTAGAAATTCTCTTTATGAAGACCTATTTAAACTTTGATAGAATCAATTAATCAATCAATATACAGCATCAGTAAAGTATTTATCTGATACACTTTCTGTTAATAAAAAATCATAAACAATACCTTAGATATATAAAAGATTTACTACCAGATTATAAAGTACACAGAAAATTAAATCAATTAATAAACATATACATAATAAAATTAATCAAGTTACTTTACTATACTATCTACTACTTAATATCAAAGATTATATTAAAATGAAGAATATCTTA